GTGTGTGTGTGTGTGTGTGTGTGTGTGTGTGTGTGTGTGTGTGTGTGTGTGTGTGAGAGAGAGAGAGACAGAGATTCACAAAGTTCTGAGCTCCACATTGGAGGGAGAGCAAGAACATTCAAAGAGGAGAATAGTAGGAATTAACATGAAAAAAAAGCTAGCAGACACTGGTTACTATGGAAAGTTATGGAGGTGGAGCACAGGAGCCCCTGTACCCGTTTCGGGTGTGGTGGCTTTGCTCCTGCTCGTGGTGAGCAGTTTGACTTTATGGTTTCTATTTCGACTGTTCTCAGCATCCAGAAGATGCCACACACACAAACACACTGACCCTGGACATGCCCTGGCATCATGTCCGGGCTATTTATGTGATTCATCACCACCGCAACAGATTAAAGCCAAGTGCACATGAAGAGATTTGTACATAAACATGATGCTCGGGACTATTAACGCGATAGATGAATTATTAAATGGGGTTTTCTTTGCATTTTTTGCTCATGTTTGAACATTACTTACTGCTGAGTAAATTGGACCTATATAAATGAAGGCTCTCTAATGTTATGATGTTATCAAAGATGTGGTTCATCCCTTTTCAGGAAGTTTCCACTTAGGAAAATGTGACAACTGCTTCAAATTTTCAACTTCCGCCATAAAATTATTGGATTTCATGCTATATGAAAAAACTAGATGTTTGGAACAAACATTTTACTTTTAGGATAATATCATCATCTACAAAACTGTCAAAGGAACTCCTCAAGAAACTACAGCAGTCTATCCACTTTAAAAACGGATACAGCTAAAGCAGCTCATTAAGTCCAATGAGGTCCGACGACAGACGTGAAGTATGCCTGTTCTTCAACATTTAGAGGGTAGGTGTAGGTGACATTTAAAGACAGAGAAATGTTTGCCTAGTTGGGCATTTTCAAAAACATCAGTTTTAGTTCCAGAACTTGTGTGTAGATGATAAGCAAACAACTATGCCGACGAACATACCTGTCTTGGTTGTCTGTAAACCTTCTCCGTCATCATGTTTGACCGTTTTGTTCCTCATCGAGCACTTAAAATAATTGTAGCTTGTTAGGAAAACGGTACAAATCGCAATTTTATTGAGTTAAAGGAAGTTAAAGTTAAAGGAATCACGTAGTTCTGGCTAAAGAACGTCTTACTGGTTTGTCAAGTGTGATCAAAATGGGGCTGAATGAGTATAAATGCCCCCCCCCGCAGTACATTGGAGCACAGCCTTCAACCAGCTGGATCCTAACAGAACCCTCATGCTGCAGCACAGAAGGAACAGCCTTTAAGAAATAAAACAGTTTCTGCTTTATCCTACCTCTCTTTCATCTGCTGAAATTTAACTGTAAAGATGAATAATCGTGCAAATCTTTGTTAGTTTATGTTCAATCCATTGATTTATGAAGTAATACAACACAGCGACACTTCCATTAACCCCAGCTGGATGTAGTGTTCCAGGCAAATTAATGAAACTAGAATGGTGAATTAAGATGGTGACAATGGTAAATGTTACCAGATATTAGCAAATTTATCCCAATATCTGGTTCACAGGCAAACAAAAACAAACAGAACTCCCTCATTCGCTTGCCCTTCATCTCTCTTCTCTTCGGTAAACCTCTGGCTGGGTTGTATAAAAAATTTAGGTCTACAAACGGTAAAAAAAGACGAAAAATTCAATGCATCATGACTTTTATCTATTAATAATTTCTAACTGTTAAATATAAATGATAAGAACACACAATTATAAGAAGCCTCTTAAGAGGATCTAGCTAAAACAGAAGAAATTAAACTCAACCCTAAATAAATGAACCAAACGAGTGATCTGAGCCGGCAGCAGCTCCTTAAAACGGTGACAAGACGGGTTTCTCCACAGGCTTCATTAATAACGCGGGAGATTGTAAAAGAGAAAGTTTGGACAGGAGGGGGGAAATGGAGCGCACTGCGTTTTAGGGAGTTTACTCTCATCCGTCAGTCCAGTCGGTCCTGTTCAATCCCAGGGTTCTGCTTTTCTCTCTACTTGCATAGCTAACTTAGCACGGGCCTGTGATTCTTTAATCTAATTCTTCTCTCCATTCCATCAAAGGACGGCTGTAATTACGGTAAAAGCTGGCCCACCCAGTTAGCCCCCCCCCCTCCCATCCCCAACCCCCACCTGTCCTTCATCCTGTGTAGCCTCACCATCATCTGCAGCAAGGGTCCCTCCCTCTCACTGCTCTCCACTACTCCTTTTACCGCGGCGACTGATGTCACTTTGCTGAGGCAGCAAAAAGCCCCTCCGAGAGAAAAAACAAAAAAAGAATTACTTTTTTTTTTTTTTTAACAACTTGCTGCCAATCAAATCCTCAGAGAACCTTGGGATAAGAACCAGAGAGCATTACAGATGGAGAGGGAGGCCAGGGCTTCAGCCAAAAGACACGTCATAATTTGGAGAAAGTATGGACAGGAACTTTATCTTCCTTGCACACAGAGGCTGCCAGGAGATGTTAGCGTCTATAAGGGGGAGGTCAGCGGGTGTATGAGACATTACGTCAGGCAGAAACCAACACTGGGACGACAAGCGGGGACAAAAAATGACTAAGGCAAACCTGAAATAACTTCGTATTGGATCAGTCTGATAGAAGGCAAACAGTTCTCCTTATATGGAACTGAGGTAGAAGAACCCTCGTTAATGGGGGCTGTTATTTATTCTGTGGTGTTGAGGACCCAGTCGAGTGAAATCGTTCAACTGTGGAGGAAACTGGATGTTACTACACTGTGTCAAGCACACAGATCTCAGAGGATAGAGATCTCCATCTACCCCTCCTACAGCCCATTCCTAACTCCTATTGTCCTCATTCTTGCTCCCAGTGAGGGAAGGACAGAAGGTTTCCTAACCTCAGCTCGATTTTCTCCCGCATCGAGGTCTGCCGGTGGCCTGATTCTTCTCCGGCTCCCTGTTGCTGCCCACCAACCCTGCATTAGCCCCCTTTTTCAGGCAGCCGAGCCAAGTACAACAGAGTTCACCGAGAGACGGCCCAGTTAGCTGGAGCACCGACTTCAACCGGGAGCCAAAGAACCACACAAAAGACTGGACACAGGGCCATCTCCAGGCCTTTTCTTTCTTCTGCTGTTTTACAAGTGTGTGACAGAAAAAGTCAATCGCACAACAAACTGATGACCTGAGCAGAAATCTGGAGAAAAACAGTACCAGGATTTTAGGGATTGTTTTTTAGGGAATATCTGCTTAAAACATATAAACAATATTATCATTCAAACATTCTGAAGTGTAGTTGACTTATACGTTTATGTCCCTCAATCTCATTTACATATTTCTCTTAAATGACTCTGTCCCCTGGATGTACTAGCAGAGGAGAACCGTTTTGTTATTTTCAGGTAATTAATGGTCTATCTCAATCAAAGAATATCAAGCTGAGGAGAGTGTTGCTGTAACTCAGACCCCTCCAGGCTGGTTCGTGTAAACAGAACAGAAATGTGCAGCCGCTGGCTGGAGTCTGACTAAAGGTCGGTGCATCTGTAAGTCGTGTATATTTTGCATCAGCTTGCTTGGTCGGGTCTTGAAAATTGTCCGGTGTCCCTCTGACAGTGTGTGTGTGTGTGTGTGTGTGTGTGTGTGTGTGTGTGTTTGGCACGGTGCGTGTTCGTGTGTGTGTCCACGTGGCAGGACACGCAGCGCCCCCTGGGGAACCCTCCACACAGCTGGAAAGGCTACTGATAACGCCCCGCCAGTGCCAGCCTCTCCTCGCAAAACACACGTGAAGATAAAAATGCAAACACACGCGGAGCTGTGGAAACACTCACTGGAGGCACAAACACAGTCCTCAAACCAGAAAAGGGGCCACGATGTCAGACAAAACACTCCAGTCTCCAGAGTTGTGTATTTCTACTCTCTTGTTTCCTCTTTGTGCAAACACACACACACACGTACGCACACGTGAACACAAACACACACACACACACACACGCAATACACTTTAACAAGCAGGAATCTTTTCCGCTACATCATAATTTCAGCTCCCCCCCCTACACAACAGCAAATTCGAGGGAAAGGGAAATATTTCAGCTAAATTAGTTATGGTAATTACAGAGCAGTTCTCAGGGGGAGCGAAGGCGCTAAATGGCTTTTAATTCTTTTCGCCTGGAAAGAGGAGGGAGAGCGGCAGACAGAGTGCAGGGAACCAGGCAGAGACCACAAACAGAAAAACATGATTAAACCAATGAGCGCATAAACAACGGGCATTAAAAGTCTGCCCGGCGACGCAGCAACACTGAACCAACGGAATTAACAACTTAGGGGAGGAGGGGGGGGGGGGCAGGCGGGCAGTGGTCGGACTTATCAGCTCTGGGAGTCTGGGGGTCCCTCGGCCAATGGGCAGGGGACGGCAGAGGAAGTTGTTTGGGCTAACTTTGTAGCAGCCTTTGCCAGCGGTCACAGTGGTGAAGGGGCGTGAGCAGAAAGGGGAGAGCGCGGCGAGTGGGCGGCGAGATGGCGGCCGAGGGAAGACTGGACGCCGAGAGGGTCATGTGTGTCTCACCCGCTCTCTTAAGCGAGACCTGCTCAACGCGGTGGACACTTCCCTTCACGAACTCTGACTCCGATCGTTTTAAATAGCACGAGCTACAGCAAACCGGGAACTCTCGACCCACAGCTGAAACTTTCCCAGTGGTCTGCCATAAAGATTCCAGATACTCCAGACAGAATGTACACACTGCCATTAGGCTAAACAGTTCAGTTCAGTACAGTAACAGTTCAGGCAAAGCCGATTCCTGTTAGTGGTGTTGCCTCGTAGTGAGAAAGTTTTGGGTTTAAATGTCTGCCTGTCGGGAAGCCTCGGGTCAAAGTGCCACTGCTTTGTTTTTCTCAAACAACAGCAACATGCTCGTTGGGTTAAACTGGTGGCTATACAGCGTCACTGAAGTGTGAACTGTGTTTAGAATGAGGAGGAATATTCTCCATGTGTACATGGAGTTCAGGAAAAAAATCGAAGTGAGGAAGACAGTTAGGAAGGAAGGAACGGCTCATGTCTGTGAGTGGGTGTGGGAGTGGGTCTGCCTGCTCCTGTCTGGGATGCTACAGCAGGACAACACACACACTTTGTCGCAAAGACAGATACATATTCAACTTCAACCATAAATCTGATCTTCAGAAGCCATATAAAAGGAAGATGATGAGATGAGTCAGCCTTCAGCTCAGCTTGGCAAATGGCCTGATGATCAGACGGCACACATCAGGAGAATCGCCACAGCCTGAACGTGTGACTGGGCTGGCTTTTCTTTTACTGCCATTGTCTGGATCCACCTGTGTTATTAGAGGAAAGTCTCACTTTAAGAAAACATGTTTTACACACCGTCGAGACGTGCGCGTAACCTCTGAAAAGAGGACTTCGTCTAGGGCGGCAGGAGAGACGGTGCCCCGCGGAGCTCGACAGCCACGGTTAAATCACACTCTGACACTTTGATGTGAAGCTAATTAATACGACGAAGCTCCTGAAGCGGCGAGATCGTCAGCCTGGCACCGCGGGGCCACGAAAGCTGCAGGCAGCTTCTACAAACAGCTCCTCCCGCGACTGATCTCCTGTTTAACCGGGGCCTGCTCCAAAATACACCAGTCAAAAAAGGCCTCCTCTCAACATCAAATCAAGTCGGCAGCTATCGCTGAATAGGCTCACAGGTGAGCCTCTACTTCCCCCTCTGAATCCCTGAAATGCTCTGGTGGACTAAGACGAGGCTACCACTGTGGGCTGTAGCTCCGATACAGTATCAATTCCATCCACTCACATCTTCATTTTCGGAGAGCTCTTAAATAAATCATTCTGTGCTAAGAATCCAAATTACAAGAGGCTCTTGTCAGAGCAAATTACTTATTGGCCTCTTTGTTTTCCATCCTCATCTCAGCCGCTCACTGATGTGTCTGCGATATGGGGAGCGACTCACATCCAGCCATCACTGAGCAAGAATATATTACACTAAATGCAGCGCAGGGGGCAATCTGTTGCTACGATAAAATAATGCTCGGTGTTCAAACTGTCTCTCCTCTATGACAAATAAAGCACGAGCAGCTTCAGTGTTTTTTCTACTGCTGCTGGAATAGCTGCGGCTTTACGGAACACTATGGTTATTGGGTTTTTAGGGGACTTTTCTCTGTGCGACGACATCAGCGACTCGCATGCGGAATTAGGAATGACTCGTAAAAAGGTGCAGAGTGGATCAGATGTGAAAATCTGGCTGTGTCATCCAGCCACATAAACATTTATCCAGTCCTCTAGTTATGATCGTGCGTGAGAGCAGCTTCGGGGAGCTTTTTTTTTTTTCTTTTTATAAATCAAGCTCGCCGAAGGTGTCTTAGGAATACAAACACACGCGGACGCGCACAAAAACACGGTAAATTTTCATCTCCCAGCATTTCCACGCCGTTGCTCCTACATCCTGTCCCCGGCCGCACCCCGGCTCAAACAAACACTCCCACCGTTTTATTGTCAGTCCCCGTGCGGTCCTGTAATTCCGGGACTGTAAGCACGGGCCAGTTTTATGTCTTTAATTAGTTCCCTGTCACTGCAGGGGCATCCGACTAGCAAACGACCTCGCCCACGTACGAGAGGGGGGGTTGATCGGCTAAGCAGGTGAAATGATTACCTGAAATTAGGTGCGGAGGCCCACTCCAGGGCGAGGCAGGCCAGGTCCACGGCGGCGTAGACCAGCAGGAAGAAGATGGTCACGATACTGGCGATGGTGTTGAGCTTTCCCGCAAACAGCACCAGCTACGGGAGAAGAAGAAAGACCAAAGGCACAGAGAAAGAGGAGATTAACATCCATAGAAATGCTTAACGAAGCTGCCCTTTAACTCATTGACTGCCAGCCATTTTCAGAACAGAGTTTTTTTTTAGCATTTCGACTGATTTTTCAAGAGCCACAGAATAGTTTGTGCTATGACTATGTAAACACCGAACACACCAAAAGAAAGAGTAGACTCTTCTTTCATCAGGAAAAAAAGATTGTTTCTACCTTATTCCGTTCTTCCTCGAGCTAACTATTCCTTTTTCTTATTTGCCTACAATCTATGCTCATCTCCCATCAAAAGTGGCACTGCCACCTAGAGGGTCAATTTGTTACTACATACTCTGTCTAGAAGCCTGATATTTACGGACAAGCTTTAGCAGATCGTCCCCCAAGCCACTCCCGTTGAAAAACATAAAAGACGTCTATAGACGTCTTTGGCAGCCAATGAGTTAATGACCCGTTTCACTTCATGGTTTGTATCTGGATTGGGACAAAGTGATGAATCGGGCCGGTCATGAGTTTATCTCGCTTCCATGGCGACAGGTGACAGAATGCTGAGACACAGAGCTTGTTCTGAGCTTGAGTTGAACTCTGTTTCGAAAGTAGCCATCACATACCGAACCTGCCGGAGCCAGGAAAGAAGTCAAAGTTCAACAAAAGCCCAGGAGCTGCTTTTTATACGGGATCCCTGGATAATTGAGCAGCGGTTGGATTTCTGCATGTGAGATGTGATCGCCGGGCTGCGCGGCGGTTGGAGCTACGGCCGGCGAGTCGCCGTGAAAAATGGATTTCCCTGCATTTTTTAAAAGGGGGCCCTGGGAGGACCACAGGTGGCTGTCTGCCTTCACCGTGAGAGCCACCGGCTGAATCCGGGGTTCACTTTTAATTAAGATGGTATCTGGGTCTGTGCTCAGCCGTGTTCACGGTGGCAGAGACGTGACAGCGCTTTTTTTTTTTCTTTTTTTTTACAGATTCTCTGTGCTGCTTGGGAGGGGAGAGCTGCGGCTCTAATATTAATGATGGCGCGCGCATTCACCGTGTCCTGTGGAGGGTCCAGTGGCTGACTTTTAATTTAACATCATGAGCACTGCTCCCTGCCATGTCCTGACATCAAAACCTGTGAACGTGGCTGCGGATGCAGAAACCAGAAAAAGGGGAGCGGGACGAGCTTCTTCAGCTCGGCCTGAATCTATTTTGCACATTAGAATACATCACAGGTAGAGTTAAGGGGTTTGTCTCACTGATAACCTGCCCAGCCCCCCCCAAGCCCCACACATCTTCTATAAATGGTCCGGTTAACAATCGGTGAGCAGATATTAAACTTTGTAGAAAATCTTCTCATCTGTGGTGCTCGTTTGCATTAATCTTTTACAATTTTCCAAAACACTACAGAAACATTAAACATCAAACGACACACGAAACGCATCAAAACTGAACTCATTACTTCGAGAAGAGAGTAATGCTGCATTCTCATTCGTTCAGATGTATCTGTTTTCACATTCACTTAAATCCATATCTGAGCTGTTTTTTTTTTCCTGGAAGCTCTGATGTCTTTGGCTTAGTCCCCTTTTTAAAGTCTTTACTAATCTTGAACACATCTTTTAATGTTGGCTTATTTGATTAACATTATATTAGTGCGCATTAGTGTTTAAATCCAGTTCTGATTTCCTTTTGGTTCTGTTTCTCGCTTTAACTGTAGGCTATTTTTTAGTTGCTAAAAAAATAAGTTTTTCTGATTGAAATGAAAGCTGGGAGTTCTTCTATCTTGCTCCCTGTCTGCCAATGAAAGCCGGGATTGGCTCCAGGCCCCGTGGCCCTACTTGAGAAAAAAAATGGATGGATGGTTAATTGAAACAGCGATAACCACACAATTAGAATGCCTTACTGGTGTAAGTAACACACAAAATCGGATTTTAGAAACATATAGAAACAATATCTGTTGAACTGTCCAACTGGGTGTATTCCCATCATAACGTTCCATCCCTGTGTGGAGCGCCTTCAGTCTGGTGGGTGAGTCTTTAAGCCAGGGCTGCCTGTAGCTCCTCTGTATTCACCATCGTCTGTGCTTTTTTTATCTGTGTACAAGGCTGACAAACCGGGGAGGGATCGGCCCGACTGTACAACAAACAGCCGCATATTTCCCCGCTAAGTACCGTGAGGTTTTACGACTGCCGGCCGAAAGCGTCCACTCGGAGTGGGAGCACTTTTCTGAGCTCAAGGACATTTGTTTGTATTCGCGTAGGGGGGGAGGGAGTAACTGAACGGGTGGCAAACACTGCTGTGAACATCAAGCAGAAGCAAAGCCAAAAGCAGGAAAAAGGGGGATATGCTAATGACCGGCTTTTGAGGTAACGGATGTCTCGCTGACAGGTGGACGGAGCAAGGGGGGGAAAGTCTATGAGATTAGCCAAAAGAAGCAGTGACAATGGTAGACGAAGGGGGGAGATGATGAATAGAGGAGAGAAAGACAAATGAAAAAAACGAAAAAGGGCAGAGAGAGCATCTCTGACCTCTGGCGCTCGACGTCGGTGGGTGTCTCTCCAGCACTCCCCGGGGAGCCGGCTTTACCAGAGCATTAATTAGCCATTAACTCAGACGCGGGCCGGCACCGAGGACTGGCGTGACTGGCGCACCGACAGAGCAGGGGAGCCTCTCCTGGATGCATTTTTATGTGGCGAGATAAGTGCGTTCTTTTATTGGACGCGCATATTTCAAAAAGATCCCACTGAACTGAGCGGGGCTGGGGGGACGAGCCCGGCAATGCTTTACATCCAAAGTTTGTATTATTCAAAAGGTGTCTCAGGGTTGCGGGTAAGAGTTGTTTTTTTGGGGGGTTTTTTTATGTGTCACAGTATCCATTTTTATACTGCTTAATTTTGTAGGAACAGGGGGGGGAGCTGGACATTGAGGGCACAAACCTGGACAGGTGACCGGCCCATTCCAGGGCCAAACAGAAACAGACAAGCTGGAATGCTCACAGAAAACACACATAACAAGGGGGGGGAGGGCATGCAAACTACACAAATATGCCCTCTGGCTGTTGGATGGAGCCTCCCCATGTGTCCGGTGCATGTTTTAGATCTTAAAACTCTTCCTCCTGCTCCCTGCTGACATCCGTGCCTGACTGTAAAGGATGTGCTAAATGATTTTGGTTCTCGTTATGAACTCTGCTGTGTGTGTTTGCTTGTGTCCATAGGGCTAAAAATCCCGGAGCCCAGTGTAGAATCCGTGTTGTGCGGCTCAAATCTTTAAATTGAGTTTTGAGGCTCCGACCCTGCTTTTATGGTTGGGGTTACAATAAGATTACGGGAGGATTACGGTAACGGGTTAGGAATTTCACTCTACCAATGTTGGATCACCACAACAGCAACAACAACAGAAAAAAATAAAAAGAGTTTTGTGTATGTGTGTGTGTGGTTTCTTAATGGAGCCCCAGCTCTAACAGGCTTTGCTGGGGGTGGTGAAGCTCTCCTCCAGCTTCAAAAAAATCGAATCCTCCCTTCTGACGGAGCTCTTTGGTGACCACTAATCAAATCATTTAGAAGGGGGGGACTGTCCGATCCCAATCGGTGCCTGATGGATGGATCCTTCAGCGAATGCATAAACATAGAGCCGTGAAAGTTACTCTGACCTGACAGGCGGACTGTTTTCATTTATGGGCGTTTTAACTGCGGCTTCTTACTAGCAAGCTGACCACTTTTATAGTCTCTAGACACTGCCTGAAGATCCTCACCCGTAATAAAAGCAGCGCCCTCCTACAGAAAGCATCAGACAACCGAAGAAAGACGCGGGCTGGAGCTCACTGCTGGTGCAAACAGACCAACATATCAGCATCGTCTCTGAAAACAAAGCGAGGCACAAAATTACAGCTATCTAATAACTGTTGGGCATTAAATCACTGGACAAGTAACTAATCCCAGGTACAAGCCTGTAACTATCGGTGTAGTCTGCTGACATCTTTCTCCACCGGCTGTCTCACCGATATCAGAAACACTTCTGAGTTCAAACCCCTTTCGGAGAGTCTGATCACGTGGCAGTCCCTCTAATGCCCTCTTAGATTAGACAGCTTCGGGGCAGCCCTGTCACAGTGAGAGCTATTAACGCCTGGACTGAAAGTGCACCGGCCAACCTGTGGAGCCGTCTGTACCTGACAAATGTGGACAGGGAGGGAGATTCTCCCACCATGATGCTACGTCTGATATGCCACTACACACAAACCACATTTGTTGTGCAGTTAAAATAGAGAGGAATTGTTGTTTTTTTAATCCTACAGAAATTCACTTGTTACAGCAGCACAAAACACGTCCAAGTGTGGGTGAAAATGTCAGAAAAAATAAATCTACAGGGATAAAATGCCTACGAAATGGGAAATTTAATAAAAATTGAGATCAGAAATCTCAAGAATATATTAATGAAATAATTTGATGAATTAAATTCATCAAAGTATGTATGGAATATATTATCTTATGCAAGACTATATATGAAAAATGTGTCATCGATAGACAGAATATAATATAACAGTCCACAGCTCACATGTAGTCCTGAGGGACCCATGTGTTTTATTGCACATTATCATTGAATATTCTGACAGCAGAGGAGATTGAAATCTGGAGGTCTAACTCTCCCAACTTGTCTCAGGTGGTCTGGGTCAGAAAAAAAGACTTGCTGTGTTCCCAAATTTCCCTAATTACCCCCTCTTCTACACGTCCAATATTTACTTGATAACTAAGGTGGGTGCGACCCCATTAGGGAATAAGCGGTAACGATAATGGAGGGATGGATGGACACGTCTGTGAGAGATTATCTATGTTTGGTTGTGTCAATAAAAGTGTTTCTTTCATGGTTGCAACCATTAATGCAATCATTTATTGGGTATGACCATGGAGCTAAAGGTATTGTAAAACTTTCAATGATTGGCTCAGAGCAGAGTTGCCTCCCGGGACTAACTGGGAGTAGAATTGTCCAGCCTCATCTCCACCCACAGCTTCCCATGATGCAGCATTCACTTTACTGTATCTCACAAAGTTACAAATATGTAGCTTTTCCCTCTATTTACAGAATATTCTCAACAGCTGTTATTCAGTGGACTTGACCAATAGATAACAAGCTTTACCAGTACTGTGTTTCAAGTTCATTCATGGAAAATAGGAAATGAGTGACTAAAGGTGTGGATTTCTGTCAAGGAATCTGGACTTTCAGGTGGTCCCTCAGCCTGTTACAAAAAGAGAATGTTCAAAAACTTACAGCAAAATGCTGCACAAATTAACTAAAGGGATAACTGCATCCCCTAAAACCCTCCAAATCCAAAAATCGAACTGTTCTTCTGTCCCCCTTCTGTTATTTTAACCAAACATTTTTAATCCTCTGTATCTTCTTAAATCAATTCCAGTCTGAGGATTCTGGACCTCACAGCAAGAGGTGGAGCAAGGCTAGAAAGAAGCAGAGCTCCTGACTGCACACTGTCATTTCAGCCTGGATCCCTGATGAGGTGGGAAATGAAGAGAAATCCTGCACCTTAAACATCAAATAGACATTTCACTGGCACTTGTTGGTAGAGATTCTCCGTTGGCAGAGCAATGTAAACCCTGAAGTAGATGTCTCCAAAGTTTGCTGGGTCATAAAAACGTCCTGCAGGTACAGCCTGTTTTCCACATCAACTCTGACAAATGCAAAATTAGGAAGCCTGGCCAGGGGGAAAGGAAACGGCACTAATCTTCCCCAGCACTGCTCACCGTTCCCCTCCCTGTGTTCTCTTGCTATTTTTTGCTCGACCGAGAACTCAGACAAAATAGAGCTTCATTGTCGATACCACAGAGTCTGAGTGCTGAAGGCAAGATTACAATCAGACTTTTGTCATCAGGTAATCACTTGAATGGAGCAGGAGGACGCGGCGAGGAAGACCGGGATGGTAAATGATCTTTGATGGTGGCGGCAATGCAGCTAACGATTTCAGCCCAAACGCGTCCTCCGCGGCAACGGGAGAGGGAGGGGAGGAGGACGAGAGGGGGACGGAGAGAAAGAGAAGGCGCAAATAATGACAGGCCATTCAGCCTTTAACACTCACCTCAGATAATGATGCCTTAGTGAGGGGCTATTAACTCGTAAAACCTCCACCTCCTCTTTGTCTCTCTATCCTCACCCTCCTTTCCTGTGCCAATATTTTCTCCTCACTCTAAATTGACTTCTTTTGCCCATTTACAAGAGAAGAGGGGAGAAACACACCACGACCAGTTTCTTGCTTTCTTTGAGCTGGGTGAAAGGAGACGGGGGGGTGGTGGGGGGAGGGGGGGCTGGCTTCTCACAATACTGCTCTTCAGTTTGCAAAGCTTTTAAAAGTTTTAATTACTTGAAGACTTTTTGCGAGTGGCCAGCACAGATGAAGGCTGCATCAGTCACGCAGAGCAAACTGCCTCGTGTTTTTAGAGTGAGATTTACAGCCTTTCTGATCAAACGCAGCTCTTTTAGGTTTGATGCGCGCGTCCCGTATTCTTGTGAATTTACCAAATGGAGCAAAAATGCCCCATTGAGGTTTGATAATGCTCTAAACCCTCATGCAAACCACTGGCTGTGTACTGGAGAGGTCACTCTGGACCTCCAGAGTTCTGTGGTGCGGCAGGTGGATGTTGGTGAACGGACAAACCTCTAGAATGTGCTGCAATAAAATAAACAGCAAAACCTGGGGGTTGGTTACTTAGAACCATATTCAAACAGCTGGTGAGGCAAGTGACTCTATCTCTGGTCAGAGGGAAAAAGCTCCCCATACAAACAACCTGCTGCCAATAGAGGAGGTGGTTTTCGTCTGACCCTCTTTGCTCGGGCCGCAAAAACAGATAGCCAGAAGCCTGGATTTTGACTGAGATCTTGTGAAAATCAAACAGAAAATAACCTTCTTCTGCTTAAAAACCCCCGTAAAGAGAAGCAACAGACCACGGCTAACTTTGCTTAGATTTTCAGAGAAAGAAGAAATTGACTTTTTGTGTGAGCGGCTTCAAATTAAGTTTGGCTTTTGGCTGTGAATAGTCAGGAGCTGGCGGTTTGTGGGTTTCAGAATCAGAATCAGAATCATTGCCCTGCGAGTGTTCGTCCTCACCGACCTGCACAACAAACCAGGAGATGAGCACAGAGACCCAGGGGTTGCCACTGTGGGACGTCCTCTTGGCTGGAGACAGCACCTTCCCTGCGGAGGCAAACACAAACAGCCCCGCATCATTAAACGGCGCGTGGACGGAGGAGGTTGATTAGAAGAGCAACAAATGGCCCTTTCGCAGTTCTTCATCAGAGCCGGAAAAAAGCCGTTTCAGACCCGGTGGGCGCTCTGCGAGTAATGGCTGCCGGACGCTGTCCGGCCTGTGGTCAGTTCAGTCAGAACTCTAGCAGTGAGGAGAGGCGCACTCCAACAGGCTTTTGTGACATTCCACCTTGCACCATTAGTTACCAGCAGACATGTTTAGACGTGACGGTCTGATTCAAACGCATAACACCGGATGAGAGGACATTAAGTCACCTCCCACTTCATTGTTACTAACTGGACTTTCTCCCTTTCCCGTAGTCGTGTGCTCTCCTCTCTTCTCATCACTTTCTACAGATGTTCCTGGCTCTGGAGCTGTGGAGTCTGGATCTGTGATTGGGAGTTTCCTGCTGCCCCCGTGTTCCTACTCTGCTACAATTACCGCCACTGTTCATAGTCTTATTGCTATCATTACTGCTATCGTTATCATTAGTATCAATATCATTGTCATTTTTCATCCAGTCTATGTGTTACGGTGTAGGCTGCCTCTCTCCGCTCCCTCTGTCCCTCTGTCCCTCTCTCTCTCTCTCTCTCTCTTTCCCCTAACCAATGGATGCAGATGGCCGACCACCCTGAACCATGGTTCTGCCTGTTAAAAGGAAGTTTTTCCTTGCCTGTGTCGCCTAGTGCTTGCTCTTGGTGGGAATTGTTGGGCTTCTGTAAATAACTTCAGAGTCCAGTCTGACCTGCTCCGTTCGGAAAGCGCTGTGATATAACTGCTGTTGGGATCTGGTGCTATATAAATAAAATTTAATTAGATTGAATGTTCCTACTGTGCGTGTGTGTGTGTGTGTGTAGACTGCTGGTTCTCTCCACTAACGGTTCTCCTTTCACCTGTGTTCTCCATTCTCAGCTGCCCTGCTTTCACTTAACTCCCTCCCCTCTTAAATAGCCTCTCTGCTTCTTTAGTATTTTGTCAGGTCTTTTCATCCCCGTCTTTGGTTCCCCCTGTTTTTTTATTTAATTTAATAGTTTCTAAGAGTTTGTTGGATGCTGGAGCCCCATCTCACTCTGACTCGGACACCCACTTAAAGACAAGAGGTGGTCTATTTTGAACCAACCACATATGGAAGTTTAAGACGTTCTGGAGGTCACATGCTATGAAAGAATCAAGAGGAATTAGCTATTTTGGTTTTCAGGAGTCAAAGTCCATTCGTTTAACCTGAGATATGCTGAGCAGAAAACCCTCCAGGTTCATAAACTGAAGCGCACTTCATGGCGGTGCGTTTTGTGAAAGTGTAAATTCTACAATCTGAATTGAATAACAAATAAACTTAGGTTGAACTCGGCATTGATTTTGTTCAAGTTTGTTTCAAACTCAACAGAAAAATAATTTGAGCTTCATGTTGTTTTTTTCATATTCAAATTTACTTCAAACCTCCAATTTTAGCTGTGTTTTGAGCCGTTTGTCAAGCCAAATACCTACAGCCTAGTGATAATAAGTAAGAAATTAACTTTTGGCACAGTCGCATGGTCCCTGCTTCCTTGTTAAAGTGAACAAATAATGGAAATCGTTAGATATTTTGCTCATCCGTGCACAGCAGGCTGCCAGCTGACATGCAGAGCTGTATACGGTGGACTCAGAAAAAACTGGGTCAAGTTGGAGAACTTTGGCTTGTGGAAAAAAATTGCTCCCTGTTTGTCAAAGTCCTCGGGCTGTTAGAGTTAGCTCCACTCACACACACACTGGAAGAGCTCCACAGAACGCTTGTTCAGGAGCTGTCCGCTCACGCATGGTGGATCAGGTTTACAACAAGTCTTAGTAAAACAACGGAAAAAGCAGACCTGCCGGCACCAACGGCTAATGTTTGTCTTTAAATGTAAAATCCAAAGATTTTAACCAATTTAAGCAAGTAACGGAATGTCTGCTTTTAAAATCGAGGGAGGGAGAAACAGTGAGAGAGACTAACTAAGCTAATGAGTCACATTCATTTCCATCTCAATATCCTGCTTGATTTTCTGGAAGACAGCACTCCTATATCCATCTTATACCTTTACCGGAGACATGTTATCTCGTAGAAATCAGAGGCTGGACTCATTGGAATAGCTGGGGTGATGTGAACACCCCCCAATCATGGAGACAAAGAGCAGCGGAGCAGCTCAGAAGTCGGGGAGTGACAGATGGAGCAGAGGAAACTCAGTTTCGGAGTGAATTTCACACCTGAAAAAAGGATTGGAATTAAATCAGTGAGAGATTTAGGTCAAGTCAATGTAGCTGAGGGGGGACGGCTGACTGATGAAGAGGATGGAGAGAGGCAGGGGAGAGGTGAAGGAGTGGGTGATTAGTGAGCTACAGAGGAGGGAGAGACAGAGAGGAGTGGGGGAAAAACTCGATCTGAGTGTGTGTGTGTGTGTGTGTGTGTGTGTGTGTGCTGGGAAACTGCTGCCACCGTCGGTCAGTTTGCATTGGACAGTGGGCAGCGTGCGCTGATGAACACAACAGCAAACACGCACATCCAGAGATCTGAAAAACTCAAATGCGTGCTGAGGATTACACCTTTGAGTCCCTCCAGCTCAAACACATGCAATCCGTGCTCAGTCATGTGCCTTTTCCCTCCTGATCGGTCCGCGGAGCAACCTGCGCTAACGCGGCCCGTTTATCTCCCCTCGAACAAACAAAAGCCGGCCTCACATACGGACGGAAACGGGACTAATCCATTTGTAATGGACCTAACAATAAAGTGGGGACGGGATAAAGCGGAGGCGCACAGTCATTAACCACGCCAGGCGGCACGGATTCACACAGAGGGCCGACTTCCACAAATAGAGTTTCTGTTTCAACTTTTAAGTGGTGACTAATTACATTTTGTCAAATATAAATAAATATATTACAGGCTTCTTTCATGCTCAGACACTTTGGACTCCACTTTCTTGGTAGTAAACTACTCCCCCGTTGCAGATTAAGCAGCTTTTTTTGGGGTTTTTTTCGGTCAAAGGCACTACGTTTATTACCAGAGATTGGACAGGCAGCGAGCAGTAGCGCTACCCACCGAATAGGTCATCCCTGGCCAGGGCGTACAGGATCCGGGAGGCTCCGATCAGGTTGCTCATAGCGGCGGAGAGCGTGGAGGAATAGACCCCCACGGTGACAAAGGGATGCCAGATGTTGATGTCTCTCAGGAAGCTGTAATCCCTCTGAAGGAGGGTGCTGAAAGTTTACAGGAAAAAAAAGAACAAATTAGCCACCGTGCGTGTAAATTATCACACTTAATATCAAGTTATTGACAGTAGAGATATGTGGAGTCGCTGGTTGGACGGAGCAGAGGGCTCATGAAGACAGGTCCCGTTGTTCTTCATCACAACATAAAACTGGAGGATGGAAAAGGGCCTTTTGATGCATTCATTCTGAGAGAAACACCGTTAATAAAATCTACTCGCAGCTTTAAGACAGTCTTTGTTTGGTAATTTCATGCTGAAAACAACATTATAACACAACGGTGAGAAGTTCAAACGTGAGATATGGGAAAAGTCAGGTTACCATGGTGATGTCCAATCCTATGTCAGTATGTGGCTTCGTGGATAAAAAAACCATCCAGCTTAAGGTTTTTATACTAAGTTGGTTTTCACGCCTTCATTGAAGGTTTGAGGTAATATTAGATTTAAATGTGGTTTTGAATGGATTTGATCTGTCAGACACTTTTATCGGGTCGATTATCCCTCACAGACCGGCCCGTCTATTCAAAGCGGAATGTAGAAGTTCTTTTGTATACTTTAAGCATTTACTTGTCGAAACATGACAAGAGCTAGCTGTTCGGGAAGAGCAGATGGACATATTTCCTCTCACGTATGTGAGGGGCTATCTCTGGATGCTCTGGCTACCTTCCGCCACACCTTAGGTTATCTGGTGACCGTAAATGGATAGAAGTGAGCGTGGATGCGGTCGTTTGTCTTTGTATAACCCCTGATGGACTGGCGATGTGTCCACAGTGTACTCTGCCTTTCCCCAGTGAATGTAGGCCCAAGCCCCTCTCCCCAGTGAGCCTGAATTTGGTCAAGCAGATAAAGAGGAAAATGGGGAATCAATAGCAGTAAAATTGTTAAATTCTCCCAAATATCAATTGAGCTCTTAAGACACCCACCAACCAGCCCTTCAGAAGTAGCCGTCAAAGCCCTGTGATGTTAACAGAGTAGTGGAGACAGCTATAAAAAAATAAATAAAAAAAGACGAACGTATTCAAACTGATAAAATCCACCACTGAAAAGCCCACTTTGTTAGTTTGTTACATTTCCACCAGGACACCAATGTGATGTCAACTGAAACTTGTTTTCTCTGGAAGGTAAAACACGCTGATGTCTGATGTAAAGACGCACTGCTGGGGAGGATGCCATGATCGTTCAGCCAGGGTGTCTAATGAGGAGATCAGCAAAAGAGGGATCAGCCAGACAAAAAAAAAAAATTGTGGTCTGTCCTCCGCTAGCCAGAGATGGGAATTAAAGTCCAAACCATTTCCCTCTTCACCCCATCCACCCCAGTCACTCCGTGTGGCTCAGCTCTCTCTCTCTCTTTCTCACACACACACACACACACACACACACACTCGCCGGCCATCGACTCATCCCCCTCATCACCTCGCTCTCCTTCATTGTGATGTTCAAGAGGTCCTTCTTTCATTTCTGTCTCAATCCCCCGCATTTTATTTCTATTTGCACCAGTGACTTCTCTCTCTTTTACCTTTCTTCTAATTAATAACCTTATCACATTTTCGTCCAGGTCCACTGATTTTAGTACTTATCATCGTGATCCTATTAAGTGTTGTTCATGGCGTCCAAACATGCGGACACTTATTTCCTATGGATCTCAGGAGGAGAGGCACTCTGTGTACACACACACACACGCTAACTGCTGAGCACGGGTCCACAAACTCCCACACCCAGACACAGATTTGTGGATTATCCCAAATCTGCCAAATGAAGAGTTGACACCCCTATTATTAGGGAGCACCAGCCATTAAGCTCATTGGACGAGTGTCGTAATGAGGCAGAGGGTCATCTCTAAGGCTAGAATGATCTGAGGTAAGGTCAAAATTAGGGTTGGTATGAACTGATTATACTTTAGGAAATTTAAGAAAAATGCATTTAATCTGGCTGTCCAGTGAGAAGAAGGGGAAACGTGGTGAGATATGGGACGGACAAAAAACAGGGGAGGCATATTCTACCCTTTAACATCAAACCTCGTTTAATAGCTACAAAAATAGAGATAAGATGGGTTTATCAAACAATTCATCGCTCATTTAATTAATATGTCAAAGGGTCGTGCTCTTTTTATACGATTCTTAAGAGTTTTATTTTCTTTTGCAGTACACTCGCTAATTTGTACTTGTTGGATTATTAAAACGATCCAACATTCATGCATTCATGGTGCATGGAAAAAAAGATGTGTATCTGGGTGTGTGTGTGTGTAGTACAGATGAGTGATGATATGGGTCAAAACTACTCCGACATGCAGCAGAACCAACAGAAATTTTCCAAAGGCTGACATTTCCAAACTGGCTCTGAAAAACAAAGACACTGCTAAGCAGTGATGGCAAATGGCGTGTGAAAGAGAAAACAGAGGGAAAAAAGCAAACAGAATAAACAATATGTATATTGAGGTTTGTAATGCGCTTTCTTTACCAGTTCTGTATTACAACACAAAGAGTGTATTGCACGTGTGCCAGTCGGTGTGTGTCTGTACGCGTGTGTGTGGGCCTGGATAGTAATTATTGATCAGATCATCCGGCTGAAATGAGCTCTGCAGTTGAAATAAAGAGGAGAACAAAAGCGCGAGTGAGCGAGTGACAGATTAAAGGAGCTCGTTTAGAAAAGCGGAGGAAACGCGGCTCGGCGGCTAAAATGAGCCCGCAGAGATGGGCGGCTTCGATTGTTCGCGCTCGTCCCGGCCCGCTCCCTCTCCTTCACCTCATTTGTTTACCATTTTAATTCAGGCTCTCAGCTGTGTATTCATGCATATTCATCTTTTAATCCATCATCTCGCGTGTTTGTGCTTCAGATAATTCACCTGGCTTTGGTCGAACATTATGGATTAATTATGCGTGATTTTTTAAATGAGAAGAAAAAGGGGAGCTCTAATACCGGGGTGGGTGTGTGCACATGTGTTATGGTGTATGGAAATGAGCAGAAACACGGCCATTTACAACCATGTTGCTCTCGGAGGGTGAGTTTAGGCTTCATCAGGATCGTTCGGCTTAATGATCCTACAGAGCAGCTAATAACGGCTCAAATGGGATCAAAGCGGGATCCTGACAACTCTACTTATGGTCAGCACTGCTGTCATCATTTAGGGACCGTTTGTGTCACCTGAATAGATAAAAGACAGTCATGCTCACCAAGACTCCAAGAAATAATGGCCGTCTACGTTTGATGTAAATTTCTATTTATTTTCTCAGTGTCCGGACCAGAAAAGGAAAAATGGTTAATGGAATATGCTTATAAAGATCTCTCCCGAGTGAGATACAGGCAGCCTAAGGTTCAATGTCTTGCCCAAGTAAGGAGTCAAACCAACAACCCTTCGATTGGCTAACATCTTAAGCCACCCCGTGTGAATGGACAATAGCTCAGATTAGCCAGGACTAAATCCAGAAATGGAGAAACTCTCTGTAGACTTCAGCTTTCTATTTTGTTTTAGCTTTGGTGCTCAATGTAATGACTTTTTTTTTTTAAACCTAAAGCTGCTAATTACAACAAGCAGGCAGGACAGTGAGCTACCCAGCATGCCGTTCTGCAGTTAGAGGATTGCAGCAGCG